AAATACCAGAATACTGGAAACTGTTCCTGTTGGATGCTCAAGCATTAACCGAGCTTTTGCTCACACTGAAGAACTTTTTAATATCTTCCAAATGCAGCTTTAATAGTTGGAAGTAATGAGACTGACACTCTCATGAAAAAGTGATGGATTATTACAGAAACTGGTGCTGATTGTGATATTATGTAATATGCATTGGTTTCGTGTATTTACATTCTTCTCTGCTTCCCATTTTATCATCTACTATTCGTCACACTCTAATCCTGATTCGCTCTCATTTTTCATTCAGTTCATATCTTCCCTCCCCATCTTCAAACACTCTCTCTCCTCTTTCAATTACACACTCTCTCCCTCCGTCACTTTTTCTTTTCGACACCTCTCCCCGTCTTCCATCTCTCACCTCTCCTCTTTCCTGTCCGTTCACATTTTTCAAGTCTTTTTTTGTCTCCCGTTCCCCACCTCACTCCTCTCTAATCCCTTCATTTTCTCCTCTTCTTCCTGCTCTCTCCATCACTCTTTCCTCCTCCTACTCACTGTTTTTCCCTCCAACCCTAATCCGTTTCTCCTCCACCATCACTCCTTTCGTCTCCTTCGATCCCGCCTGCACTCGTTCATCCTGGCTCCCCACTTCGCTCCGTGATCCATCACTCTTCTCTTACTTCCCCCTTCATCCCTCCATCCACTCATCCTCTTCACCTGGCTAACACATTATTCTAACCTGTCTTTACTTCCCTCGTTCTGTTGCTCATATTCCCAAACACCAGAGAATTTACTTTGAGTTTGGTGGCTTGTAGACGTTAACAGACTCCATTTATGAGCCAACAGTCCACAGGAGACAGAGAAAGTTGGTTAAAGTTTTGTTACAACCTGTTCACTTATTGGCCATAAAAAGTGATTAATTTATAAGAAAATAAACATGGAACATTTAAACAGTAAGAAATCTAAAAGTACTCTGATCTGATTTTTTTCACATTTACCATTTACGCATTTTTTACTGACCACATTTCACAATAAAGCTCCTGGTGCTGGTGTTGAGACCGGGCTCCTCCATCAGTCCCAGTTTCAGACAGCTGCTGTATTGGACCAGTTAGAGGAACAAGTTAATACGAAACCCTCAGAGGCTCATCGTTTCACCTCAACGCATCTCATGCAGCCACACACTCATCCGTCACCATTAGCAGTCCTAAATGGACTATCGGCAGCCTCCACCAGTCTCCCAACACGATGATTTATGGATAAGAACTCTCACTGGCAGCTCTCGAGGAGGGAAATATGACCGTAGTGCAACATGGGAGTCAAACGGGCAGAAAAAGAGGGGAAATGGACGTTTGCTTGTTCAGCATCTGAACTCAAAATGATGATTTACTTTCAGCTACAGTTGGAAATAAGATCGATTGTTTCCAGCTACAAAATGTGTTGGATTAAGACTGAGAAATAAAGTTTTATCAAAGTTAATTTTGTAAACAGAAAAGATCAATTAAAGGTCTTTTCCACGACAACTGGGCGACCTCCATCTGCTGGAGATCATGTGATGTGATTATATTGTAACCTGGGACCTGTTAGCTTTAACCTCAGTCTGAAATAGGTGTCGGTCAGTGGTCTACACATCCAGAAACATTTGGGGTTCAACAGCTTTCTCTCCTTTTTCGTGTTTCTGTGCAGAACTTTTCTCACAGAAGTTACAAAGTGCCGATTACAACGACGACAACAGAGAACTTCACTGATTGTCACAATCCGAGCGCCGATTCTGTGTCTAAAATCTTAAACATGAACTCTCCCCGCGGTGCGAGCGCTGCTTTGAATTGGCCTCCAGTAATGAATATAGATTATGAAAACAATATGAGCTGAAACAGTCCACGGCAGCAGCCTGTTATTGAGCCTCGCTCCTGAATTAGTGATGAGGAACACATAAATTATGCAGAGTGATTAGTAACCAGGCAACACGCGGGTTTACCTCGCCGTTTATAGATCAGTGTGCCGGGAGGGGGGTCGGAGCGGGAGACAGAGACAGAGCGACACGAGAGGGAAAAAGTGTTCAATTAAGACAGACTTCAAGTACAAATCAGGGCGTAAAATGGACGTGTTTAACATTCGGTTTAGCTCCAGTTCTTTGATTTATTTGGAGTGTTAGACGGCGACTTATTGGTGTGATAAACATCGTTTCTGTCCGACTGCGCTCTGGTTGAGGGAAACATGGTGTTTAATCTCTTAACCATAAAGAAACCACATGATGTTTATCTCTTGTACTCATCTTTGGCCTGAAACCTTTTTGTGGTGTAAAGTTTTACCGACACGAGTCGGAATTGGTTTGAAAATGTACAATGAACCAGTCGATGGTTATGAATCTGTTGATTGACGCCTTGCAGCTAACAGCGTCTCCACTCTCGTGACAAGGACAAGAGCGCCGAGAGTGACGTTAGCGCAGCGTGGCTCGCCGTCAATCTAAAATCTAAAGTTTGGAAGACATTTGGATTCTATTACGAGAAGAGAAAGTTGGACAAACTCTGCCCGTTTTTAAGATCTGTCGGACCAAAACGTGGTTAAACAGTCTTCAGCCACGCTAGCAGCTCTGTGAGACTGTACTCTTCCTAAGCCCCAAGCTACATGAAGAGTTAGCGAAGGGAAAACCAGACAATATTCTCTGTATAAAATATGATCCAGTTTCACCCAAATCACTGATAAAGTTGTGTTTGTACAGTAATCAGTGAGCTCTGCTAGCTAACTAAAGAACCTTCACTTGGATTTCTGCGCCAATTCATCGTGTTTCAGGCATGTGTTCATATCTGAGAGCTGAAGGAAACTAAGGACAACTGAACGCGAGTAACAAACAACATGTGCACAAATGTCATAAAAACAGACAGTGACATCACTGATGCTGACGAGGGCGGCTGCTGATGAAGGCGGCTGTTTGCTGATCAGTCAGCAGGTCTCTATTTTCAGACTGTGGATCATCGATTCTTAGAACAAAAGCAGAAAATAGATCAAAACATCACATCAGTGGTCGTCACTTCCTTTTATTCTGAAATTACACTCTGACTGAAGTCGTGTTCATCCTGTCTGAGTGGGCGCACACAAACATGACTCACGCTTCCACAAATACTGTAGTTCTGTGTATTCTTTTCCATAAAGCCCACTCTAAAGTAAACACAGGTGCACGACGTCGCTTCCCGCTTGCTTTACTCATGCGACTGAGCGTACGCTGAGAAACACACTGGCTGCGCCGCAGAGATCAGGCTGTAATTACGGGCGGATTACTGGGAAATGGCCGGGCTTTGGCGAGGTTAGGTGGCGGAGCTGTTATACACAGCTTAGCGGCCTGATCCTCTGTTTAGTGGAG